GAGAGAGAGAGCATATGTGAGCAGGGGAGGGAGCAGAGGGAGAGGGAAAGTGGACTCCTCGCTGAGTGTGAAGGCCAGGACCCAGAGATCATCACCTGAGCGAAACCAAAATACCCAACAGACTCAGTCATCCATGCGCCCCATAATTCCTCTTAATATTTTATTTTATCAGGATTAAATTCAGAGAAGCAACTTTTCTCATTTTTTACTCTTTAACCTTTCACAAGATAACATAATCACCAAGTCAGACTTTCTGGAAGTTTTCACTTTTATACTTTGATCAAGCTGTGGCTTTAGGCATATGTATAAATATCAAAATCTTTGTCAACATTATTTATACTCTGACAGCCTTTTTAAAGAAAAGAAAAGTGAAAATGGTATTTGTGAATTTCCAGTGATTTATATCTGCCAATTTATCTTCACGACTGCAACTTTAGTATTGTCGTTATTACCCCCTTTTTTAATGAGGAAACGAATAACTAATGCATTTAATTTAATTGCATACAGCATTTCCTACAACAGTCTGCTAAAGATTGTTTTCGTCCTGCTCCTAGATCACGGCCCCAGTTCTTTGGTATCTATCATACACCATCCACATCTCTAAGCTGAACCTCAATGTTATTATATCTCTTACCTTCTTTTTAATTAAAATATTACACTCAAGGTCAAATAAGTTACTTTATATTGTTGAATTTACTTTGTTCCTTGGCTTCAAAAAATTCTAAGCAGGTATTTGTGTTCTCTGAAGCCAAACTGATGGTATTTTGTGTCCAAAAGATGTGGGGTTATGCATAAATTATTAAGACACTTGGATTTTTACTCCTAGAATATGATGTTCTTTCTTAAGGTTCTATGCAGGATGATGTATTGGATAAAAACAAGTCTCTGTGTCTAACACTGAAAAGAAATAAAATAAATTGGAAAAAGAGCAATTCTGTAAGTCTGTAAATATGTCATAAATAAATAATGCCTCAGTTTAAAAAATAAAATATTGATATTGTGGATATGCAATAATGCAACAGAAGGGATATGGTTATCAGGGAAGGATAACAAAATGACAGTGACAATATTTGCTAAGTACATCTCAGGTCTGTTTTGTATACTGCATTACTTAATCCTTATAGCAACCTTAGCAGTGGGTATCATTCTAATTTTCACTTTAGAAAGAAAAATACTGATGAAAAACAAATGATTTGTCTAAGATTGCAGTTCAAAAAAGTAGCAAGGTCAGACTTTGGATGCATAGATTCTGATGATATATATCCAAGCTCTCCATCTAACTTTTTGCTGGTTCTAGTAGAGGTGAAAAGAAAGAATAAAGAAACACATGTTTGTACAATTGTTTTATTCACTGCATTGGGTGGCATTCATTAATTATTGAGATGGAAGGTGCTAGGAAGTAGTTTAGAAAAATATACTAACAGCGATGGAAGCTTTGTATATGGAATCCGATATCCACAAGACCAATTGTAAACATAGGACTGTGTTTGGTAGTCTTTGACAACATGATTCTCTGTTTGCATAGACCCACTGAGGTCAGATAATTCAGGATATTGAAAGCCAGACTGAAAAGCCCAAGCCTGATGTTATAAAGAGGAGGAAGCTCTGAATACCCTACCCAGGGAAGTGACGTGATTAGAGTGGTGCTTTAGAAAGATTGATTTTGCATTTACATGCCGTATGGATTGAAATTTGGTGGGATGTCCAATAGGAAAGGAAGCCAAGAGCCACTAATGGCATTGCAGGTAGAGGCAGATGAGATTTGGGCTTAGAAGTGGAAACAGGAAGGAAGAGTAGAACACAAGAATTATGATGTGGGAATGATGAAAATAACTTTGTGACTTATGATGTATAGAAGAGATAGACTTGAGGATGAACATGATTATAAAACAATTGAGAGTGGAGGGATGAATCAGAGATATTGGTTCTAGGCTTATTAGACCCTTTTCACTTGAATAGGTTTTGTACCTTTGTATACTATTTTTAATTACTGAAATGTTCAATTCATCATCTATTTCCTGGGGACTAAGTATAGTCCAGTCACTTTTCTCAATGTTGCATATATGTATGCATGCATATGTGTAAGTGTGGAATACATTGGTAGTAAGTGGTTGGACATCTAAAATCAGGAGGTAAAAGAAATAAAAGTATTTAGGGATATATGAGAGCTGCAAGTCATAAGCATGGTTTTCCTTTTAGTCAGTAGCAGAAAGAAGAGACCAGCAAAAAATAAATGCAAATGAAAAACCAGGGTAAGAGTCAGCCCGTCGGAAAATAGACTATCTGGCTAGAAAAACATACCCTCTGGCTCGAGTTTTGGTAATGGTTCCTTTGTGCTAAGAAAAAATGATGCTTATTTCTCTGTAGTTGTATCATGTCAAGGGCACAGGCTAGCTATTGATGCGTACCTCTGTGATCAGAGTAAGAACCAAGGACCATGTCCAATCTGAATGTGTGGTCAAAGGTGGAGGCCAGGAAGTATCACATCTCTCCCTTCCCCCCTCAGTACTTAGCACCTTTCCTTTTCAAATGTATCCGTAAACTGAAGATTATAATTGCTATGATGCCCAATTTAGACCTGGCTCACAGTAGAGCATAAATAGGCATTAAGTGAAGAATTGGCAGTCCTGTTATAAGCAAACATGGAGTTGGTGTATGTTTTGTTTTGTTTCTGCAAACTTTAGGCCAAACCTACAGATTAAAAGAACGTACAGTCATAACCTGGGGATTAAAGAAACATGAAACTATGGTAATGTTTATATATGGCATCTTTCATAGATTTTTTAGGTCATTTAAAATTTTTATTTCCAGGCAAGATTTTAATAGCAATATGATTTTGGGTTACATCAATATTCTTCACATTAATCTCCAAATCTTAAAGTTATTCCATAATGCACTTAATAGGATATCCAAATAATTTACAGTTACTAATTAAAGCTGAAATGTACACTGTTGCATTTCTCTACAATATTCATATCTAAAAGGCCATAAAACTGCCCTCCTGGTTCTTTCCCAGTACCATTTATAAGGCATATTTTTATGTGATCTATAGTGCTCTCTTTCAAGTCAAGCAAATGAGGCACACTTGACTTTTGACAGCCATTAAAGATTTTTATATGAATGTTTGATTGTGTCAGAACAGGAATTTACATTTCCTGTATTATTTTCAATCAAGTTTTTTCTTTTCTTTTCTTTTTTTAAGATTTTATTTATTTATTTGAGAGAGACAGAGATAGTGACAGAGAGCATGAGTGGAGAGGAGAAGGAGAAGCAGGCTCCCTGCTGAACAGGGAGTCCCATGCAGGACTCGATCCTAGAGCTCTGGGATCACCACCTGAGCTGAAAGTAGGTGTTTCACTGACTGAGCCATCCAGGTGTCCTCAAGTTTTCTTTTACTTTTGTTTTATAAAATTAATTTCAGAGAGTATGTGTGTGTGTGTGTGTGTGTGTGTTGTGTGTATGCGTTTTAAAGATTTTTTAATTTATTTTAGAGTGAGAGAGCAAGAGGAGGGGCAAAGGGAGAGAGAGTCCTAAGTAGACTGCACTGATTGCAGAGCCCGGCACAGAGCTCAATCTCAGGTCCTGAGATCGCCACCTGACCTGAAACCACAGGTCATTCGCTTAACAGACTGTACTACCCAGGCACCCCTTACTTATATATTTTTATAATATAAGTATATATTTTAAGTATATCATATGTAAATTTCCAACTTTATGATTGTTTCAAATATGATATTGAAAAGAAAGAGAAGAGGGCCACCTGGCCGACTCAGTCACTAGAGTGAGTACGTGACTCTTCATCGTGTGTCATGAGCTCAAGACCAAGGTTGGATGTAGAGATTACTTTAAAAAAAAAGGGGGGGAGGAGAAAAAGAAACTGAGAGGTAGAGATCCCTTCAGTGTTTAATGTACCTCTAATTCTTTATGTTTCTGGAGTAGAAGTTTCATTAATTTCCTCGTGAGACTTTTTTCTCTCTTATTTTCTCCTCTTGCCTCTTTAGCATTTTTGATAATTATTTATAAAGTTTTTTATACTGGAAAAAACAAAGTTTCACTCAGGATACATTATTGAGCTTGAAATAATGTAATGGATGGACACAAAAACACGCAAGACAGACTTTCTAGCTGTTTTTAAAATATAAGGGTTTCACATAAAGATTTATTTTACTTAAGTAATACATAAGCAAAACTAGAACAGGTAGTTTACAGTTTTATTTAGTTTATAAGGACACTTACTCTAAACTTGACACTTTCTCCAAAATTGTTAATATAATTTTAATGAACAAAAAAATCTCACATCTTCACAAAAGATATTTGTACTGATGATTCAACAAAGTCTTTGTTTCTTCTTATATTTTTTTAATAAAGATTTTATTTCTTTGTTTGACAGAGATCACAAGTAGGCAGAGAGGCAGGCAGAGAGAGGAGGAAGCAGGTTTCATGCTGAGCAGAGAGCCCAATACGGGGCTTGATCCTAGGATGGTGCTTTATCCTAGGGCGCTGTGATCATGACCTGAGCTGAAGGCAGAGGCTTTAACCCACTGAGCCACCCAGGCACCCCTCTTCTTATGTTGTTTTTTTAATTGTACCTTCAGTCTCTGTCCCTTTTTCTTTCTTTCTCTTACACATACACACGTGTACACACACACACACACACACACACACACACACACAGACATACACAGGGGAGCTTGTTTCCTTTGAATGCAAATAAAATCCCCAAATTGTATAGAAAAGGCAGAAGTAAAATTAATGCCTCCATCAATGGAATTTGATAGCAAAGATTTTACTCTTCATTTTCTATAAGGATTGACTAATGTATACTTTCCTACAATTTGAAAACATCATTCAGCAGTTTATGCAAGCTATCTAATTCAAATATATTAAGTGACATAGGGAGCAATTTTCCTTTATTCCTAATTGTCAGCATACCATTACGCCTTAATAATGGCCGCCCATATTACCTGGCTTATATTTCCTTTGTTTTTGCTTTCCTGTAGATGTGCCATCCAGTCCCTATGGAGTGAAGATTATAGAGCTGTCACAGACCACAGCCAAGGTTTCTTTCAACAAGCCGGACTCCCATGGAGGTGTGCCTATTCATCACTATCAAGTGGATGTCAAAGAAGTGGCATCAGAAACCTGGAAAATAGTACGCTCCCATGGAGTTCAAAGTGAGTCAGTGATTTCAAAGTTTGTCGGTTAATTCAAGCTGACCTTCAGTGTTCTTGTGTGATGGGGTTTTCGTTTTTCTTCAATGTGGACTTTCTTTTTCTTTTAATGAAGTAGAGTTGGGAAGACATTTCCACTGCCCTTTTCTTCTTGGGAATAATTTTAATACAGAGTAGGAAAGTTTTCATCTTTAATAAAGATGGAAGAGTTTAACAAACTCAACGAAGTTCAATTTTTGGAGAGAAAATTTAGTATGTAGAATTTTGGTGGTGGAGAAATAACTACTGACATGTCAGATTTGATGGCTGGATATTCTGAAATATTTTTTTTTAATTTATTTGTAATATGTCTTCCATAAGTATAAAATTCATGTTGTAAAAGGTAGAAATACAGAAATGTAAAATGTAAAAATCTTATATATGTGTATATGAAGCCATCTATAAAAATTACCTGTCTACTAAAATTTATTTCAAAACTGTGTTTTGAAAACTCAAGTTTTCCTACAAATTGTGGTCTTTCAAGTAATGGAATAAGCTAATTCTAAGAAATTAAAACAATTTACAGCACTTCTTTTCACATACAGAATTTCATCACTGTGAAAATGTGATTTGTTTTCCCATTATAGGAAGAAGCTAAAGTAGGAAATGACAATTAATTACAAGAGGGAGACTCTGTTTGTTGGAATATAGAACTACATTGCATAGTCCAAAAGGACAGTAAAGAAAATAGTGAGGAAACTATTGTTCTGTAGTATCCCTTCTCTGCTGGCGCTGGCCCTGGCTCGATCCTAACATGCCTGGTGTAAGGGCTCTGTAAAAGGCATGAGCTGTTCTATGAAGAAAAGCATGAGCCCTCCTGTGAAAAACTGTCCTAGTGGACAGCAGAGACAGAACAGATAAAATCATTCTAGTTTCACCTGTGTCAATACCCCCTAGTTCCATTTTTACTGAGAGTAACTACAGGTTTTTGATAGAAGTGCCAGAAATATGCATTAATCTGTCATCAGTCATTTACTACACTCTTCAGATAATACCCCCAGACATGTCAGCTCTTACCGTATTTTGTGTTTTTTTGTCTTGTTTTGTTTTGTTTTTTGGGTTTTGTTGTTGTTGTTGTTTGTTTGTTTGTTTAATGATGAGAGGATTTGGATAGGTACTGTTTTTTTGTGCAAATGCTATGTGGTTCAGGAGAGAAGACAGTACCCCTAAAGAATGAGCAAATGAGTTCTGAGACTTTAGTGGAAGAAGTCATTATCCTAGATTAAAGAACACTATTTTTTAAGAGAGTAAACAAGAGAAGTGAAAGATGAGAGACAGAAAGACAAATGAATTATTTCAGACACTACAGAACACTCCAAGTGTGTGCCTTGCACAACCATGAAGAAAAGTAAGGCTAAAACTGAATATTAGAGAAATTAAACTTGGCAGAATAATCTTGCCACACCTCACCCCTCCACCCTGGTGAAGAAGTTTAATAGATTCTCCCAAGACTTCTTACAAAGCTACAACACAATTATGGATTTATAATTGCCTTGATCTGATGGAGTTGTTCATGTTCAAAAACCTGTTTTATTACTTCGGGTATCCATGTTTCAGAAGCAGATTTCTATGTTTATAAAACTTATATATAAGAAAGAACACAAATCAGTTCATAGTTCATAAATATTTATTTTATTTTAGTCGCCATGTTAAGAACTGAAAATAAATCAATAGATTTTGAGCACAAACTGAAGAATTTGGTATTATCAATATCTTCTATTTTACAGAGGATAAAGCTGAGGACTATCTATATAAAAGAGAAAACTGAGACTATAAAGTTTAGCTTCTTATCTGAAAGGTAATATGAGTAAATAATAGAGCTAAAATTCAAAACCTAACAGGAAATCTGATTCCAAAGCCATACTGTTGACAGTTATGCACCTTTTCCCCCTCTATTCAGTTAAGAGTTGAGAAAGTGGAACAAGAATTACTTGCCTTGTAAAGTCTGAATATGAATTCATTTTATAAATATATATATATGTGTGTGTGTGTGTGTGTATAAAATTTGAAAGTATGTTATACAATTTTAAATATATTTATATATAAATAATTTTTATAATATTAAAATATATATAATATGTAATGTGTGTGTGTGTATGTTTGTGTTTGTTGGCAATACATTTTAGATAGCTAGTGGAAGGAGTTATATAGGGAATTTAGGGAATAATTTGCCTGACCAAGTTAAATATGAATTAGAAAGTTAAAATATCACTATTATTTAAAAGTTTCTTTTTAGAAAAGAAGAAAGCAGGAATGAAGGGACAAGAGTGGGGAGAGAGAGAAAAAGGAAAGAAGGACAACCTGTCAGAATGGCTAAAGTTGGACATTTTAAACATGTTTCTTTACTCCACCCCATATATGTATGGTTGACTAGACTACAGGGTCCAGAACATGTATGATAGACATTGTGTACACGTGAGTTGTGATTATGTGATGTAGTCATTGATGGTTTCAAAAGGATTATAACTGAGAGAGAAATAATTACATAGTTCCTTCAATGGAAACATTATGCTTCAATGCAATACAAAGATACAAGAACAATTTAGTAAAAAATTATTATAAAGGATCTAAAGAATGTAGGCCCAGTACACAGCTGTCTAATGCAGCTTGATTTAAGGGTGAAAGTTCAATGATTTGGAGCAGAGGGCAAGCTTAACAATAGTGAAAATATTAAAAATTGTCTTCAACTTTATAATTATCTGTACATATTCTGGAAGGGAGATCCGTAGCTTTCATTCATTTCTTTAAAGAAAAGTATCTTAAAAATGTTTTTTTAGTTTGACTTTATTCTCAAATTATAGTTTAGCTGAGTATATAATTCCAGCTTGATCATTACTTTCCTTTAGTGATCTAAAGAGAGTATTTTACCCTCTTCTGTCTTCCCTTGTTATTTTAAAGTCTGCTGGAAGTTGTCCTTTCTTTGTAAATATTTTGACTTTTTTCTTAAGCTGGTTTTGTGATATCTACTTTAATTTGGTATCTTGAGGTTTAGTTACTTGTCCTAATGTAGAGCTCTTCATTTGTTCTGTTTGAGGTTCTTGGTATTTCTCAATCTAAAGATCCATCTCTTTCATCAATTCTGGAAAATGTTATCATTACCTTGGATATCTTGAATATGAATATTATTTCTTCCCTCATTGTCTCTATTCATTTATTCTGGTAATCCAAGTTACATGCTACATTTGTTATTTGAGATATTAGACTATCATCTCTCTTTACCTAGATTTTTTTGTTTCATTCCTTTACTGTGTTATTTTTGTTCTACTAGTTCACTAATTCATAATTCACTTATATCTCCCACTAAAACTCTCTATCAAAATTTTAATGATCATAGTTTTAATGTATATAAGTTATATTTGTTCATTGTATGTTTCAGCAGTATCTCACTTATGGTGGTTTGTTTAGTAGTATATTTTATGATTTAATTGTGATCTCATATTTTGTTAATCTTATTTACTAGGATCATGCAAAGCCTGGGGTTTGGGGGCTTCTTCCACAAAAGATATTCTTTTGCTTCAGGTAGTTGCCCTGGAACTTTCCAAAGGTGGAAGTACCAGAGCACCTTAAATTAATTTCTTCATTTGAGATTTTCTGTGCTATGAGAGCCAGTTTATAGTTACTAATTTTCAAGAAGTTTTTATCCAACCCCCTTTGCCGAATTGGGATTTGGTTCAAGGCCAAGCCAAACAAAATTTTTCTAACCCACAGTTTTACTTTCTTCTAAGGACTTTGGCATTCCTGGTTTCATGAAGGGGTCCAAGTCTCTGATCTCCCTCTTTCTTCTTTCCCCAGTGAGGACATTCAAACCCAATCTTCTATATTACAGATCTGTGCAAAAGCTCTCAGCTATTTGAGTATCAGTGAGATTTTCCACAAGACTGCAATAATTGATAGAAAAGCAATTACATAATTGCTCCTCTAGCTTCAGGTCTCCCCATTCACATCATTTTTTCATATTTCAGAGTTTGCCTTCCTTTCCTATGAGATTATATGTGCATTTAAAAAGATTTTTGGAAACAGTGTGTATAATTGTTAGCATATTTAAAAGACTTGATTTTTTGGTTGTGTAGGTAATCGTATTGAAATTCTGAAGACATCTATTAAAGCACATACATAGTTTTGAATGGTGAAGAAATGCTTTTTTTGTGCCTTTGTTTTATAGTTTGAACTGATAATTCATCTTAAAGTTTGAGTTTTGTAAGCATAGCTGTACTCATTGGCTTTGAGGCATTTGTTAGAATACAGATTTAGGTTTATCTGTGAAAAAGTTGTCATGGTTGTGAATATTTCAGCTGTGACTTCTTACCCTCGACATGGTTTTATTTATTTATTTTAATTTACATGAGTTCAGTTGACATTCATTTATTTTTCTTGACTCATAAATATCTATAATTTATTGTATACTCTTCATATATCTACTTCTACCTAGAAGTAAATATCTGTTCTTGCTTGATTGTGGTGGCATAAGCAAGAAAACTTTAGCAAAAAAAAAAAAATTTCTATTAGTAGATTCTGATTATAAATAACTCATTAATTAATTTCCTGTGAATTTCACCTGCTCACTCTGCACCTGGCCCTAGGTTTAGGGTGTATTTGTAGTCTAGACGAGTTATTATCTTCTTCAAGGTTTAGCTGAAGTCTTACTGATCATCCCAATCACTGATGTGACATAAAACTAAATTTGAAATGGGGAGAGTTGTGAACAAATCTGATATCAACAACTTGAACTATTCAAACTTCGAATATGAGTCATTCTGACATTTAATTTTGAGTGAAAAATACGTATCACAGGTGTAGCAAGACTTTTTGATTGGGAGGGATATATGACATTTTCATTACCCTATCATTTAACACTTTGTAAGCATGTTCTATATACTTCATTGGGCACAAATGAAGAGAAGATAATAATCTTGCAAAACAGCTACTCGTTTTTCAGTATTCAAAATAAAAATGAAAAATTAACA